GATCAATGTTCTCTAGACCCAACAGGTCAAACACTCTAATAAACCTGACTGCCCACAGATGCATTTCCAACTTCATCCAAATGCCATTCTCACCACAAGTGCATTTTTCACCGATCATGGTGCCCAGGTTAATTAGGTTCGTCAGGAATTAAGCTTCAGGCTGCAATGCGATCAACAGCTCCATTCCTTAAAGAAGCATAAGTGTGCGAATCTGGGATTCAAAATTTAAACCTGGAAATAAAGAGAATAAAGAGAGTTGTGAAAAATTTACAACAGAGAAGTATTACGAAGTAAAAATCAATGAGTGCTGCTTTCATTATTTAATGCAATAATGTATTTATTTATAAATAGTTTATTTATTGTGAAATATTTTTATCATTTTTCATTTCTATTTAATATATTTTAAAGTGTAATTTATTCCTGCGAGGGCGAAGCTGAATTTTCAGCATCATTATGCCAGTCTTCAGTGTCACATGATTCTTCAGATCATCATTCTAATATTCTGACTTGCTGCTTAAATTATTATTAATGTTGAAAACAGTTGTGCTATTTAATATAGTGATACACTACTGATATATATATATATATATATATATATATATATAAAATTAAATTAATATTAATTATATATATACAAATTATATATATATTATTTTGATAATAAATAACGGTTTACATAAAAAAAAAAACATCCCAACATACAGTATATGCAATAATGGCAAAACTATTACCCAATATGTAATTTAATAATGACGATAAAATTCCCAGTGCCTTTCACATCAGTATATTGACGCCAAGGGTTTCTTATTTCAAACAATGAAGGACCCTGCACTAGGGCTGTGATGGTGGCAGATTTTCCGGTGCGTGGTGTTTAAATAATTTTGAAGCACAAATAATAAATAAATGATGCTCGATCATCTATTAACAAACGTGAGTGTTTATTTTAGCACTTCCATGATGTGAACGTGCAGTCTGCAAAACACTAAAATAAGTATCAAAGAAATAATACAGTTAAATAAAAAAGTAGCCTAAATAAGAAAGTTACACCCTGTCTACCGGACGCGAGTGGTGCGGCGTGACAAAATACTACTGAAGAACTCATTATAATTAGTAATGCTGTTTACACTGGATGCGGCGCAACACGACATGACAAATCCCTGACAGTAAACTGCCTCGTCCTGTTTATGAGGTACTGACACAAAGTTCAAATGTCCTGTGTAGAGACTTAACCTGTTGAGGCGGTGTCGTGTCCGGTGTGGACACGGTTCACTGTTCCGCAGCCAACCAAGCGGGCGCATTAACTCCTCGTCAGCACGCGCTCTCTTTGAAATAGTAATCGTTGACACATTTCTTGTTAACATCTTCCATTTATCGCGGTCTCGTTTGTATTTGGCCAATTTGGAGAAAGCCTCACCAAACCTGACCAGCCAGGCATTTGCGATCACGGGAACTTGAAGACACTTGTACAAACGCGGATGGGTGATATGAATGGAGATAGCTCCAGATCGGCAATGTAGTATTTGGTTTCCCAACAAGGTCCATCGCCCAACATAAAATTAATTTACTGAATGCAGAATAAACGGTATTTTCCTGCGCTCAAACCTGCCAATCAATTGTGAATTACCATAGAATTATAGTCTAAATAAAACAATTTGCAACTGTTACTGTTATTACATTTGTATACAAAACTTAGTATTATGCTTGTTATAAAGTATGTGACGTCACGTGCACTACCGCGGTGACAACAGACCACCGCGGTGACGCGGTTGTCACGGTGACCGTCACAGCCCTAGTCCTGGTACAATATTTCTATCAACAAATCATAAAGATAGCGGAATAATTAGGATTGTTAACCTATCATCATATGTCATCCTGTTGTTTTAAGGACCAACAAAAGAACAATTTTTGCATGGCAAAATCACAAGGATCATTGTGACTGTTGACTTACCAGCAGGGATCATAAGTGAGAGGGTAGTCGCTGAAGCTGACTTGATAACTTTGTTAAGTGGGCGTGATGTGTGTTTCTCTGTATCTCCTGACAGCAGTCTGTGGCGAGCTCTACGAGCTGCCAAATCACTGATGGCTTTAGGAGTAGAGTTTTCAGATCCTTCAGCACTGTAGCGAGAAGCTCGATCCAACACGTCACCAGAACTACCAGCTGAAATCACACAAACGAAAAATTAGCAGAGATATGACTACAGAAAATAGCAACCTATCAGAATGGCCCAATATGGTGTTATTTGAAATAATAAATCCCATTAATTTTTATGTTATTTTTTTTTAAATCTCATTAAGTCTAGGTCCTGTCTTTTAACAATTTTCGACTAAAGCTAGAACAGATACAAGTCCCCAGAATAATTGAAGACTGACGTGTGACTGTAGATTGGCTGATCTGGCTGGAAGTGGAGCCTGGTGTGGTTGGCGATTCATCCAGCCTGAGCTCTCTCTCCACAGGGAGCTCTGGTATAGCCTGAGGCAGATCTTCCCCACGAGGGCCCCTCACAGTGGTCTTCCTGCCCCCCACACCACCATCCTCTTCACTGGAAATGGCGAATCGAGGCATTTCGATGATGGCCGAGCAGCAGCGCCGACGTACAGTCAGAGGCGGGCTGGAGTCGCTCTCAGTGTGAGATGACTCGGAAACAGAGAGTCGCTTCCTTAGGCTACAAAAGCCCAAATGTCCAGTTCATTACACCATGTTGAACAAATGGCGAATATATTTTTCAAAAATACATGACTATGAAATCTATGACTTGTTTATCAGAATAATTTCAGGTTATTCACTCACATCTCAGGTGAGCCCACTAGCCAGCTCCGGTCTCGAGACTTTAGGCCACTGAGACTATCGATACGCTCTCCTCCCTCTTCACTAAGACTGCGCTTAGTGGGAGGAGGGGTGCGCTTCTCCTCATGCAAGGAAAGACGCTCCATACTACTATATACCTGAAAAAGGCAGACCGACAGGTAGAAATGGAGAGGAGAAGACAGATTAAGTTAAAAAGGCAAACAGAAACAGAAGAAAAAGCAATACTGAAAAGCAATACTTTTGCTGTTGTTAAGAGTGTTAGCATGTTACTTCACACCTTGCTGAATCGTGGTGAACAAGAGGAAAACTGACGGATCTCCAGATGGTCATCATCATTTGTGTCATCCTCTTCCTCCGAGTCCACGTGATGATACCGATCTGAGCGTGCTAGAGGGTTGAAGAAGGAAATTTCAAACAGTGTTTTAGAAAATGTAAGCCCATGTGGTGTGCATCTGTATTGCAGGTAGAGAATAAAGTGTCTTGATATAAATTTCTCTACAGTCTCTGCAGCCTGAATACGTACTGTCAAAGTAGCTAGTGTCATCCTCCGACTCCAGCTGAGGAATGAACTCTGCCTTCTGCCTCAGGAGACTGTTCCAGTCCAGATCAGTAAAGAAACGGTGCTGTTTCACCTCAAACGCACTCCCTGTGAGACAGGGAGCGAGAGAACATCTCTTCAAATATTTCTCAAAAACAGAGATATAGGATAGCATTTAAAAAAAGTCTTCTTTCTGTTCAGGTTTATTCATACACTATTAATCTCAGCAGATCAGTCAAGTCACTCTTCTAACACATAACCAGGGAGGAGATCAAGAAGAAGTCAGAGTCTGTGCAAGTAAGTTTGAGTTTGTGTGCTAGAGGACCTGTTCCCAGACGCTCCAGAGGGTTTTGCCGCAGTAGTTTGGAGATGAGATCTTGAGCATCTAGAGGCAAAGCTTCATCACCTTCTGGCCAGATTATCTCATCTATTGAACCACACATTCAGAATCATATTTCTGAAAGTACTCTCAACAACAACAGAATTAGGTTCACAGAGTTTTTTGTATTAAGTTTTCCAAAATTAATTAAAGACTGGTAAAGCAGATTACACTGATTAGGAAAGTAAGACTAATAATGATAAATTACTTCATATACCATACAAAAGTCAAAAGATTGGGCACTTACAGGTGCATCTCAATAAATTAGAATGTCATGGAAAAGGAAGGGTGCCAATGATTGACTTCTGGACAACTGCCAGATCAGCAGGCTTCCCCATGATTGTAGAGCCTAGTGAACCAAACTGAGAGACCATTTTGAAGGCTCAGGAAACCTTTGCAGGTGTTTTGAGTTGATTAGCTAAATGGCATGTCAATATTCTAATTTGTTGAGACAGTGATTTGGTGGGTTTTTGTTAAATGTGAGCCAAAATCATCACAATTAAAATAACCAAAGACTTAAACTACTTCAGTCTGTGTGCATTGAATTTATTTAATACACGAGTTTCACAATTTGAGTTGAATTACTGAAATAAATTAACTTTTCCACAACATTCTAATTTATTGAGCTGCACCTGTATGTTTGTATAGTGTATGCATAATGTTTCTCATGATTCAATTTTTAAGAAAATTAGCATTTTCTTCCAGATACAACACTAACCACTGATGACTTGTCCAAACAGTTCCTCAGGTGTATCCCCAAAAAAGGGAGCACATCCCACGAGAAACTCATACAAGATGACTCCCATGGCCCACCAGTCCACTGGCTTTCCATAGCCCTGCCTCAGAATGACCTCAGGCGCTATGTATTCAGGAGTACCACACACCTGATGGAGAGAGAAAGAAAGAGTTTTGAGACTACACAGTTTCCTTTTAATAAATCAATAAATAACAATGCAAGAGACAAAATGCAAAGTCTCTGTACCTGTTTGTCCAGAAATTCTCGGGTGTCTTTTTCAATGTGGCCCTCATATAGATTGGTTGTTAAGCTCATTAAACCAATCTTGGACAGGCCGAAATCTGTCAGTTTGATGTGTCCCATTGAAGTAATCAGGAGACTGTTGAAAAACAGGCCATTCTTTATTCTGACATCAGTGAATATGAAAAGGCCATCCATTTATCTAAAAAGCTGTCTAAACCAGTGTTTCCCAACCTTTTTTCTGCCGCGGCACAGTTTTAATACATTATTTTTTTTTATAATTAAACATTGCGTCATCAGAGCTGGTATTTTGGCTTTATATATGATCCGACACTTGCACTTAATTTCTGAAAATCATACTCAAATGGAGTTAACAAGGTTTTTGACAACCGAATGATGGAGATCTGTGTTTTGTCCATCATTAGAACGGCCGCATCTGAATCAGATAATTAATCGCATTACGTTTTCATCAGTTTGCAGGTTATAAAGTTTATTGTAGCTATATGGGTGCTCTGTTTCACTTATTGTTTAACCCTTAAATGCATGAATGTTTTGCCAATCATTATTACATATTCGTGTCTTTAGCGACCCAGACCTATATATCCAGCACGGATAGACCTCTAACTGCTGCAATAGCAAAAAACTCTCTTGATATTTTAAGAACAATAAAATAAAGCATATTTCACTTCCTTTTGAAACTTAAAAGGGTTCAATTTGAGCAGATGATTTTTCCATCGCTGTCATCATCAGACGCACTTCCACAGTACATTCAGCATCTGCCTCACATTCATGATCTCAACCATATTCTTAAAACCTTCGTTTTCAATGACTTCATATTCAATATTTTGATCACTGGCAGCTTATTCACCACATCCAGCATCAAATGGCAGTGACATTTCTATTTTATTGCGTATAGTAATTGCTCTGCAGTAAAGCCATTCAAACCAGTTCAGTTTTTGCTGATGATATTCATTTGTTTTATGCCTGCGGTAATTATGAGTGAAACATCACGTCATCATTGTGTATCAAACAGTGCCACCTTGAGGAAAAAATATGCATTGCACAAATTGAGTCATCAGATATGTAAATATAGTTGAGCAGGAAAAAATACTTACACATTTACATACCTCGGGTCTGTAGCAACCTGATACACTTTTTACACTTTTGTAGCGGCGTTGCATCTGAATATTGGAAATATTTCTGATTTAAACCGTGAAGACGATCCAGTAAATATCATACAAGCAACGTGCAAACAATGTAAAACTTATGCCGGTGAACACCTTTCACCATGAAAGTGGAAGTAAAATTAAAAACTGACGCCGCACTAATTAACGGCGCATATTCTCTCAGAGACGACGAGAGAAGAATACCCTACTTAATATGCGATATATAACTGTTTTAATTTATATCCTTAATGTTTCTCTTGTAGCCTGTACATAGTGAAAACAATGAGAATAAACTTATTTCGTGTTGAACAGGTTGTTTTTGAAAGTCTTAAGTTTCTTAAGTCTTAAGAAACTTAAGTTTCATTGATGACTGAAGTGCTTTTATTTAGGCTATAGACCTATAATTCATTGTAGGCTATAATAGACCTGTTTTAAAACATGCAGGGCCCCCCCTGCAGTGCGTGCCCTGTGTGCCCGTCTGCTACTCCACCATTTACCCTTGCATTGTGAAGAAGTAGACGTCCGTCTTCAAACTGTGCGTCTTGGCACTTCATTCTGAATAGAGGTGGGGTGGAGTTATGAGGTTTGACTGACAATTTGAAGATCCAATGGCGTTACAAGGTTTAGTCACAAGCTCTTTTGAATGCTTTTCATTGGTTAAATATTTGTAAAACCCACAAACAGACATAACGATGACCAATAGCACTGATTTAAAATAATAATAATGAAATATAATAGAGATAAGGAAGTTATCCACGGCACACCCGACAACCTGTCATGGCACACTAGTGTGCTGCGGCACAGTGGTTGGGAAACACTGGTCTAAACCAAAGACAACTGATCTGTTGCAGCCTAAAAAGCATGTTTTATATTCTTAGAAAGTGAGATGGAATTTAAAGGATAAATAAAAACCCCATAAATCAATGAAAGAAAGTAAACTACAAACACTGTGGGGTTTGGTGTTACATGTGCTTACTTGTCAGGTTTCAGGTCTCTGTGCACGATGCCGTAATTATGAAGGTATTCCAGTGCTAGAACAGTCTCAGCAAAGTACATGCGTGCCATGTCCACAGGCAGAGCCCCAATGTGCTTCAGCAAAGTGGCACAGTCCCCACCTTCAGACACATACATAAACACTTTCAACTACAGCATTACTCTGTGGTGTATCCTACACTGAAGTCCTCCATGAACACAGTCACCCCCCAAAAAGAGTGTTTCTTACCCTCCACATACTCCATAACCATGCAAAGATGTCTCCTTGTCTCAAAAGAGCAGAACATGCTGACAACAAAAGGGTTCTCTGCAAATGTCAGGATGTCTCTTTCCACAAAGGCCTGCTGGATCTGGTTTCGCAGGATCAGGTTCTGCTTGTTGATCTTCTTCATGGCAAATCGCTGACGGGTCTCCTTATGCCTCACCAGAAACACAGCCCTGAGTGGAGAGAGGCATGTATTACTATTGAGCTTGTAATGACCTTCTAACTCTATGATTATTAAAGAGAGGTGGAGAGCCAATTAGATAATTACAAATTTCAAAGATCTTACCGGTGCGTTCACACTGCCGCCGGTGAGAACGTCAAAATTCACTCTGGCCGCCCTGCCAACAATGCTGTAGAAAGATTTGCGGACGCTCTGACGATCGAACGATTGGTTTTGTATTTAAAGGAGCCGCAAAGGAAACAAGCATGTTGATCTTGTGCAGACTGACCACAAGAAACGTATAAGTTAACCTCATGAAAATGTTTAAGTGTAAGTAAGAAATTGATCGATGGAAAGAACTTAACAATTAGTTACATGTTTGCTAACAAAATAAACCAATAAAAGCCATTTGTGTGGTGTGTTTTTGTGTTCATGGTTAAGTGTTAACTTTTTTAGTTTATAGGAGACGTTTACTAGTCTTGGTCTTTAATTAACATTAACATTAATTTGTGTGCAGCCTACATTACAAACTGTCCTGGTTGTACAAACTGTAGCCTAAACGCAATTGGTCAAATCGGTGTTGTTTTGAGCAAATTAATTGCATTTGTGCTGAAAAACAAGCATTCTAGCGTGAAAATGCTTGGGAACTAATGTGGGCGGAACCAAAGTTTACAGGACAGCGTTCTTTGGAATCCTCTCAAGCTGAGGACTTCTGCATTCCGATTGGTTGCTGCCCAACCACGTCATGGCTCATTACCATAAAGTTGACCTGACTTCAACTCTCCTCGACGCCGGCTCACATTGAACATGAATGACTACCGGCCACTTTGACACTCTCGCCAGCGGCGGTGTGAACACACGCTTAGGCATTCTTAGTCATTGCTGCAGTAGTGAAATCCTACTGTCTTACCCATAGGCTCCATTACTGATGAGTTTAATGGTCTCGAAGTCTTCCTCACGTGGAGTTTTAGTTTTGGGTTGAGGCTGAGGCTGGAGTGGTTGTACGGTGGCTCCTCGACTCTGCATATAAACACAAGCACTTGGTCTTAGTGGAATGCTATTATATAGAATCAACAGAGTCATTGAAGATTTCAATTCTATTGAAGACTCAATTCTATTACTCACGTCTGTGGAATCTGTCTCTGTCTCTGGCGTTTCAGGGTTACCACTGTCATAGCTGCTCAGCTGGGCCATTTCTAGAGAGCATAAATGTCATTGTAGTTCCTGATTTAATACAACAAACCTAATAACAGAGTTGCTTCATACAATCCCCAAAAGCTTTTGGACACTTATGCCACACCTAAAATTAGGTCAATGCATTAGATAACAAAATATCAAACCAAGTAGCATTTGTTTCTGCAGATGCCACATTGTCTGATTTTTTTTTTTGTATCTCATACAATTTTTAAGTGTAGCCTAGTGTTCAAATGCTTTTGAGGCCACTGTAAGTAGCATTCTTACCCTCAAGGGGGTCCCTGGTGAGGCCCAGCTGGCTGATGATGTATCGAGGGATGTCAGACTTGATGCCCTGACCTTCTTTAGCATGACCTTCAGCAGCCTCTAACAGGTGGTAGAACTCTTCTGGATCAAACTCCTACAACACACATAGGAAGAATTAGGTTCACATTATATGAATATTAAAATCTGACATCAACTCAGTCCCACTCAATCCCCAATTATTTAATTTATTCTAGAGATGTTACTCTATAATTAATGAAGGTACTGGAAAATACATTTTTGTACATTTCTGATGCTGTCTGGAATAGACAGGGTTCCCACGGGTCATGGAATTTCTGGAATATCATGGAATTTTAAAAGGTCTATTCCTGACATTGAAAGTCAAGGAATTTTATATATATATTTTTGTCCAAGTCATGAAATATAAGGGATTTTTGTTTGTTGCTTTAAATTTTAGTTTCCAATTACCAAAATGTATTTTTTATTGTGTTTTTTCACACGTTTTGCCTATTGTTATGTTTAGGCTATTTTTCAGCGCCATTTTATTCCCTTCCCGTTTGTCAACTGCCCATCACTTAAGTCAAATGCAGTCACAAGGCTGTACCTGTTAACTAAGGCAAACAAGCCAGGAAAATTTAAATTTCAAGAGCTTTGGTTACAAAATGACCATTTCAAAAACTGGGTGTTAAAAGCAGATGACATAAAAGCAACAGTAAAGTTGGTAAAACTACTATCGAGCTATCAAATATGGGAGAGGGAGAACAACAGCAGCCTTTTTTTCTGTTAATTATAGGTCATGGAAATTCAGCTTTTTAGTCAGGGAAAGTCAGGGAATTTGACTTTGAGTGGGACTTTGATTTGGCTTAGAGTGGGAACCCTGAATAGATCAAACATCAAATATTTCAGAACTAAATAGTCAAATTATCACAATAGTCTTAAATCCTGATTCCAGACAAATATTTATAATCATTATATTCATAGGACTTCATCAACATGTAACAGGCTAAATGGCCTTCTTATTCAGTGTCAATCACACAAAAAGTTAAAGTAATTCTTCATATACAGTATTTCAACAAATTATCATTTAAAAATTAATGAATAGAAATAAAATAAGAGCCAAACAAACAAACAAACGGCCCAGCAAGGGCCAGTATTCCTGTCATTAAGTTAATTAACAGTTTAGAATATTTTTGTGTGCTTATTGAGGCAGGTTTGTGTCCAGGTGCCACACTGAGGTATTTGTGATGCATTGTGCACACATGAAGCAGAATAGTTTAACAGCTCATTGCTCTCTCAGGTGCTGGTCCTCCATCAGTGCTGAGCTGTACTGTATGTTGTCATACTACTGAATGCACCAGATTACTCAAAATACACATGTAGCCACAGACATGGAGCCCTGCTGCTTCTTGTGGTAGTCAGCTTTTGTGTTTCCATAATGTCTGGCGTGATTTATTTGTTTAACAATACAGCAAATCTGACAAATCACTGTGCATTTTGAAGCCTTACAATGTGGCCTTGATTCAACATGCACATTTCCTCAAGGCAAATCTAGCATTTTAATTATACGGTACTGAGCATGTGCTTCATTAACTATGGTAAGGCAGTTTTCTCTGAAGCCTCAGTACAAATAATGTCCAGATTAGTTTCCTTTAAATTATCAGTGCTTACCAAACACTCCAGCAGACGGGCGGGACGGGCGATGATTATCATCAGCTTTTTAACCAGCTGGGTGACAAATGTCACCTCCCCACTTTCTGAACGCTCATGAGCCTAGCAAAACACAGAAAAGAAAACAACAGATTTGAAATAGCATACTAACATTCTAATTACAGTATGTACTTTTATGAATTGAACACCTTTAATGATCTACATTTTTTAAAATTAGTGATACATATTAGATATGAATTAGCACACTGGGTGGAATATTATATCCTACAATGTAATGCTTTTAAGTTGACTTTCCGCTTTCAAAGTGACGACTGAGTTGGAAGCAATATCATTGGAGATTTTTGACACTCAAAGCACTACAGTAAGAGATAGTTGAATGAGGTGTACAAAGAGAGTACATAAAAAGGAAGAGTGTAAAGCAGCAGAAAGGAAAGAGTTCATCAATAGGATAGAGAAGAGCCATTCAGAGTAGATGGTTAAACAGCCGGCTGACAGTAACAGAGCCATCTCTGACAGACAGCACTGCCACCTCAGGGGATGTCTAATCAGCTTCTGAATTATTTATACAGGTAATGAAACCGCCAGTGAATCACACACATTCAGTATAATAAAAGGTCTCTGCACTGAGTAAATACACTATAGACAGACAGAAGTAACAGCAGTGAGAGATACAGGATGAGGGAGGGATTTGGTTTAGCATACCTTAAACTAGATGAAATTAGATACTCTATACTAAGTTATACATAAGGTCAATAAGGTCAAGCGTACATAAGGTCAATAGAGGATTCTCAGGATTGCTCTAGGGCCAAACCTCATGGTGACAGCCAGGTCACTTAAGTGACCCGGCCTTGAGATTGGCTCCTGTGGTTTTTAATGATGCAACCATGGGAGACTGAATGATACAGACTGGTCATTTAAAATGGTAAAACTAGTCTGGCCTTAAGACAAATGTCCAGTTTAATAAATAAAGCCTATAAACAAGGACAAAGACCTTATAGAAAGAGAAACCAAAAGAAAAAAAGAGAAGATGAATGGAACTGCTACTATAACATAAAACGAAATAGAGATGCATGATATACCTGTACCATATCAGTTATAAGCCAATATTAATGATATTGTGTTAATTTATTCCTATTGGTCAATATTAAATATATATTGGCAGTCATTTAATTTTGCATATTTTTTTTCAATATAAAATAGTGTAGAACTATAATCAATGTCATGTTATCAAAATTAGTAATATATTGTTGGTATCACCCAGAACGTTAATAACGAAATTCTGTGTTTTAAGTATAGTCATATACTATATTTAAAAATCTTTCAACAATTCACAATTTAAAGTAAACAAGCATATTCTAGTCACAGTCCATGTTTTGAGTGTTAAACTGTCATACCACTGATGTGTTCACAATTCTACAACATAAAACAGCAGCTATCAGACTATGACCTTGACTCGATGCAACTCTGCAAAGTAAAAACAATCAGGAACTCAACTGTTAGATCCACATGGTTTCTGACCGCGCTCTGCTCCCAGCGCTCTAAAATCTGCTGAAGAACCTCCTCTTCCTCCAGCCGCCTCTGCCACGAAACGCAGGACATCCTCTCAGCGAGCGAGGAAGCGTTAAATGGAGAAGTCGGGAATGCTTTTCTGAGCGCACCTGCTGAAGATGCAGTTTAGACCGCGATCCCTGTCTGGCCCACCTGTCACCATCGGCTCCCAAACTAAATCAGCCAATTAGCACGGGCTGGATGATGTCATCCCTACTCGCCTGAATGCCAAGTACGGCTGCGTTGATGCCATGGCGACTGCATGAGATCACGATGTGCACATTTTCGATTCTGGCAGGCAACAGCTACGGGATGGTTATGGACAACCAACCGAAAGAGGGGAAAACCCGACCTGATCCCTCCCTTCCATTCTCACTCCCTCCCTTTCTTTCTCTCCCGCCCCACCACTCACCCACTTTTGTTACAAATAAAATTAAAGAAAATAAGTCAAATTTTTTAATATTACGCTTATAGGCCTAATAGGAAAAAAGTGTGTATTATTTTTTTTTTACAGACAGCGATTTATTTATTATTTCTATTATTTATTTATTGTCTGTATGCATTAATGCTAATTAGTGTCTTGCTGTTTTTATTTATTTTAATTAATGTTAAACACTGTTTATTTATCATTTAATATGTATATTAATTAATTAATATGACTTTTTTCTCTTTCTCCTCTGTCGCTATGAGGACTTTTTTGTGTCCAAATATGCCCATGTCCTAATATACTGTAAACAATAAGCAGTCTATAAAATGTCTAATGTAATATGTTTGAACATTCAGCATTCCTAAAACCGGAAGCAGACAACATCCAATTTTTCATTTCAATTTTTGAAAGGAGTATGCTACACCCACCAAGGCTGCATGTCTTTGATCAATAATAGTAAACGAAATTTTACAACAAATTATTTAAAAGCGTTTATTTAAAATATAAATCTTCTGTAGCACAGTAGTGCATTATGTCCGTATTCTATTCATACACATACATACATTTTTTTAATCAAATAAAGTATTTGTAAAGTATTTTGTCACAGGAAACAGGCTGGTATTTTGTCACTTACATCATCATGTTTAGGATATAATAAGGGAATAAAGACTGTAACCTCCAAAAGCACCCACAACATCATAGTGTTGAGAGAGTTGAGTGTTGAGATGGATAACTGCAAATCCCCTCCACCTCCCCCTCCGTCCAGTCATTTCATCCTTCTCTCCCTTCTTTCAACAGTAGAAATGGATAATCCTGGGAAGCTGTAATCTGTAAGATGTGGCAACAGCAAACCTCTCTACCTCATCCAATATTTATGGATATCATTCTGGAGTTCTGAACCCCCTGCTGAGTGTGTCTAGATACTAAAAGAGGCAAGGCCAGTGTTTTCTGAATAAGTCATCTTAACTGAAAAAGAGAAAGAGCCAGAGGGGAAAGAAAGAGAGGAAGAGAGATGTGTTTACAGATAAGAAGCTCATGAAGGAGGTCTCTTTTTAGAGCGTTGAGGAAGAAATGATTTAGTCTGTCAAGTCCTGGGCAGAAGTGTGAGTGACTACTAGAGTAATCATACAACTCTTTTGCTGAGAAAGAGATTGGATAAGAAGAATCCAGGTCTCACATAAAAATCATAAGAAAAAATATATACAGATTTTACATTTCACAAAGATTTTGAAGCCTATTGTAGGACCATTCAGATTGTATGTATTTATTTTGGATAGTGTGACATATTTCTTGGATATTATTTTCATTACAAATACGCACATTTCCCCTCTATCATTCACATGATGAATTTTTGTAATTTGCATTATCCGTAGTGATTCTCATTCTCTCAATATTGTAGTACAGTTTTTTTTTTAAATCACAGCATTAAAGTAGAATTTAATTAAATCATAATAAAGGCAGTACATTTGGACATTTAACCTTTTTCTTTATCATTTTCATTGTTCTCTGTGCTTTTTCTTATTATTGTAGTTTTCTCTTTTTAATCACAGCACTAAAGTAGCAAGAATTCTTCAGAAATTTAGTATTAAATGAGAGTATAGGCAGTACAATAAATACTACCTTATGTAAATAAATATGTAATTTTAAAACTTGTATACGCATATAAGTTTCTTTTAAATTTAATAATTACAGATTTTTGATTTAAATTAATGAAAACTGGTGGACTTAATTCATTAAATTCCTTTCACAATGGAAAAATGGAAAATAGATCTCTCATGAAAACAAAAAGTTTAGTTTTTTTTTTTAAATTTTGGGGTGAAATATGACTTGGACACATTGACAGGCAGAGAGAAGCATTAAGAAAGTGTGAAGACAGAGGAGTGAAGAGGCATCAATGTGAAGGGCACAAAGGCTGAATAGCATGTCTGCTACCTTGGAGGAGTCAGGAGTCTAGAGAATGAGGTGTGGCAGTTTCCTGTCAGAGCTCAAGATTTGGCCTTTAAAAGTGAATGAGTGAGAGCCTGAGGGTCCAGCTGACATCAGAAACTCACAACATCATGTTCACTTGAAGGGCAATGTTTGATTGCTGCGAAATGGGAATCTGTAAGTGTTAGTACCTGAGACTGCGGGAGCGCGGCCGCATGGCTGGAGATCTTCTCCCATCCTCGTCCGTGATATTCTCCGAGCTGAAGTGTTTGGTGAGGAAATGCAGCTCATCTGCAGTGGGCTGGAAGGGCAACTGGTGCAGCTTCTCCTGAGATGAACATGATGACTGTGAGAAGCAGAGAGGGAGGGATTACAAGGATAGAAGGCATTGCATAGGCTGCCCTGACTGTCAATCAACTGCCTTTGTTGGCATTATGTTGTTGATTGTTAATTTGACTCTTGGCAGGACATTTTTCCTCAAAACATTCAGGCCAAATGGAAAAAAATATTGAGAATACAACTTAAAAATTTGCAGTAATATAGCTTTTTTAAATAACCAACTAAGAAAATGTTAGATTATATTACAACTAAGTTACTAATTATATTTTGCATAAAATAAATGAAGCCTAATTTTAAGACAATTATGCCTTTCTGCATTGTGACATTATTTAACTTCTTATTACTTTAATACCAAAAGAAAAAAAGCATTCTCATTACTATAAAACATAATGATAATTGCCATTAAAATAATGTCACACTGTAAAAAAAAATCTTAATGACCCTAAAAATAGGCTTTATTTCCATTATGATATAATTTCTTATTTCTTGACATTTCCTAAGAGTTTTTGTGAGCTTCACCCAATTAAAAAAAAAGACATTTGTTCTTAATCAGTAGCTTTTGCCCCTTGCGTTTAGAGTTGAATAAAAGCTCTGCAGCCTTTAGAATAAAAATTTGGCATAAACAAGGAAATATCTTTTTATCTTTCTGCAGAGACTTTAATGGGGCTTGAGCGGTTTTGAACCGATTCCCCAATGAAAGCAACAGCCAGACTGAGTTACAGTCAATTTTCAGGGACAGAACTCTTTTGAAGTGAATGCACTGATATGAAGCCACTGGCTTCACTTTAGGCTAAAGGGAGCTGCTTTGTACCTAGAGTTTATCCCACTGTAGAGTCAATAGGATAAACCTTCTGGGAATGTTAAGGCTTGGGATCAAATGCAATACCAAACAGACATGCATATATCTGAGGGTTGATACAACACAGAGGGACTACAGAAAGAACATGAGCACAAACACACACAGACACTCACCGAGACTGTTGAGCTCGGGGTGTTGGTTCCATAGCCAGAGGAGGGCAGAGAGGCAAGAGACCAGCGACGACCATCCGTCCTAAAAGTGTGGATATCGGAAAAATGAAAATCTGTTTTTTTTTTATTACTGCTGATATACTTCAAAGTAATAAGGACCAGCAGAAATAAGCAGCACTAAAGAGCTTTCAGACGAGCAATGGTAAAATATCACACAATCAGAGCAGAATAAAGCACCACAGATTAAAATGTCCACATTAACTGACATTTGAACAATAAACAATAACGATGATTATTGCATTCAACTGTGCAGCTCAATAAGGCTTGCATACAAGAGCCATAAGCATTTGTGCTAATGGCTAAGCTGCCCGGACAGGAATTTATGTGTACTTTTATTGCAGATACACATATGAAGCCTTGTCATGCACATAGCACAGTGTGAATTCAATGGCTTGATGGCTTTAATCACACAACAGCAATACGATAATGTATCACTCAAAAACATGAACCAATGATGACTAACATTAGGAATTTAACAGACTGTCAGCATCCCTTTTCTTTGACAAAATAAGGAACTTTAATCTGTTTGACCCCTGATTGCAATGTGCATTGTGCAAAACACACAAAAGACTGCAAGGATTTTAATAACAAATTACAAATGAGCAAACAAGCAAATAAACAAAAGTGTTCAAAATTTGGTGTCAGGAAGATTTTTTGAAAGAAATTAATACTTTTATTCAGCAAGGGTGCATCAAATTGATTAAAAGTGAATGTAAAGACATTTTTAACGTTACAAAATGTTTCTATTTCAAATAAATGCTGTTATTTTGGCCATCAAAGAATTTTTGCAAAGCACAGAAGTCTGTGGAATATTTCTGAAGATTAAATATCAGTTCTAAGCACACAGTCAAGCTGTTTGTATCCAGCCAGCTGAACGAGGTGGGGTGATTAATAATTTATCATTCCGAATCCGATACATAAATGAAGTTGTCAGAGATGTTTTTAAACAGATCTGACTGTCAGCTCTAATGAAATGGAAAAATTATGGTTTTTGTAAACAGCCATGCTGGAAGCACACACAGGAAATGATGTTGTAAAGGAAGCAGGCGATTATTACCTGTCAGGCCTGTGTCCATGGCTGTATGGAAGAGAGTAAAGCATTCAAAAGTGATGCTGTGAGGGCATCTATGTGTGTGTGTGTGTGTGTATGCACTGATCTAATGTATCTCTCACTATGACCTTCACAAACTAGAAGTTTCAGCTCTTGCTCACATTGAACGCATAATTTATATACACCCGAACTGGATTCTTATTTCTAAAACCACTTGCATTATTAGAGTGCTGTACTGAGTCCATTAGGTGGCACTGTTGGTCCATGAGCATTTTGGACTGGATGACTCAATGGTCTTGCTCTATGGCTGACATTCAAACGAATCCTTTTAATTAAGCCTGGGGTCATCAGCTCTGTGTGTTCTCTCCCAGTTGTTAAAGCATTACCATCTTTTGCTGCTCAATTACCAATTCAGATTCACTCATTAACATTCTTGGTGTTATTATTCAGAGCCACAGTGAAGGATTATGGGATATTACAAATTAATTGAAAGTGGGGTGCTTAATAACCAGCAGATGAGAAGCAAACTATGACAACAATATTTGCAAGAAGAGCGAAGAGATATTTAATTTGGAAACATTTTAAAAGACTGTAGAACGTTATATTAAAACTCATTCCCAGAATGTGGAGTATTTTATGATTAAATGTTTTGAACTATAAAATTCTGATAAAGTGTGAGAGATCGACCTTTGACCTGTGATGTCACTCACCTGCGAGCTGGCACAAAAGAGAAGTGGGCCGCAGTGTTTGGAGAGAAATTACGTGGGCTGTCCAATGGGCTGCTTCCTGAAAGAGACCAAAAATGTGACATTTATTGAATTATTCGCAACAATCAAGTTCAACTACCCACTATCAGGCCAGGCTGGTACAAATGATTGTCGAAATAAGCACAGACTTCATACTTCAGGCCACCAGGAGACACATTATGCCCGTCATAAGAAAACGCAATTGCCCTAAGGTTCTTACCTCTTCTATCCTGCTGATCTTTCCCATTTATTTTATTCATCAAAGCCCTTTTAAGATAACAAAACCCTTTAGAAGAGTGGGCTTCTGATGTAGGCCGCATTGAGACCAGAGGTACAGGGATAAAACACACTTTGATCATGGTCTTTTTTATTCTCCTGCACAGCTCTCTGAGAATAGATTAGTGCTAAGAGAGAGAAGCACTTACAGTGTTTAAGTGCTTTAGACAACAGGCCTCTCCATCAAAAATGCCTCACGTGGAGTGATATTGCATAATGAATGTTATTTAATGATTTGCAGACCATGAGCAAAGAATCCTTTTTTGATTAACTCAAGCTCAAATTCATATTCAAGGGATTTTGCCTAGAACAGACTCTTTATCTAATTTCCATTGGTATTTAAATGGCAAGAAGATTTCATATCCTGGGCTTGATCGCTGTGTGGTACATTTTTACATTATAATTTAATATGAAATGCATAAAAGTATAGCTTATAGATTAAAAAATACATGACTGCTATGACTAATGTTACTAGATAAGAAAGAAGAAAATTTGATCTAAAAACCACTAGTGCTAGTCATGTGTGAATTAAGGAGCATAGATACAGGTATCATCAATCAATCCAGTAAATCCGAGCAACGGGGCGCTCCTATCTGGACTGTGTGGTACGGCTCGGGTCACAATCCCCCATGCATTAATCATGCATTAATGCATTCGTCAAGCGGCCTATGCCAAATCTTAAATATTAATGAGTGCATAATTCTTTGTCAAAAATTGACTATAGGAACAGCTGCGCACAGCTGGACTGGGACACGGTGCAGTGTGGATCTGTCACGGAGATGCATTCATTTAAAGGAGAATCCCGTCACGGAGAGTGTAGGAGACAGCACAATGGTGTGCTACACAGTGAAGCACCTGCTTATTTTTCATCACGAAGGCTGTAGTGGATGAAGGGTTCGCTGAAGAGATGCAGACCCCCTCTCATACGATACACAGCCGAGAGAAGAAAACCAATCAGCACCCTGTTGAATTACACATGCTACGTTCACACCACAGCTGAATGTGGCACGGATGAGGTTTTTGGATGATAGTGTGAAAAATCACACAGAATCTGACATTTTCATCTTTCCTATGTGGAAATAAACTGCATACTGATTTTTAAAAAATGTGACTTCAATGAGAACACAGAGGAATTCATGCAATGTTTAGTCATTTTAACTCGCCATTCTTTATAACCGCATGATTAATTTATCCTTCCTTCACTCATAATATCAAATTTATATATTGCACAATATTAAGTAATATAAAGAAAGGTCCAAAAATACTTACATTTCTATATAGATCAAATGTTGTGACACTTGCTTTGGGAAAAAAAGTGTAATATGAATGTAATAAATTTAAGAGTGAAAGTCCAATGTTATTTGTATTTATAATAATAATAACAATCATAATAATTAGTGCTGTCAAACGATTAATCGCATCCAAAATAAAAGTTTCTGTTTACATACTATATGTGTACTGTGTATATTTATTATGTATATATACACATTCACTCACATACAGCATTTATTTTGGAAATATTTACATGCATATACATTCATATATTTATATTCTTATATTTTATATTATATATAAATATATTTAATATATAAACATAACATAGTTTTCTTAAATATATACATGCATGTGTTTATATTTATATGTGCTTATTACACGGCTCTGTGGAATACTTGATTCTGATTGGTCAGTCGCGACATTCTGAGATATGTTATCCCTCGATAACAACCGGTAAAAGCTGATAACACAGGCTCATCCGGCTAACTGAAGTCGGCGCCCTACTCTTGCTAGGAACGTTTTTTTTTTCTTGGAGGAAGCTTTGCGTTTGTTTAGCTAATAAAATGTTAAAACTCGATTCAAAATGGTGTACAATTATTTAATTATGTCATCCTGGTATCGTGGACACACTCTCTCGTTTCATACAAACACAGCTGCTGCCATTTTGCTACGATTGTTTTGTACGCTGTAATGGATTATAAGAGAACTAAGAAACTGGTAAGGTTTTAAAACATTTTCATCTTAATTCTTTTATTGCCTTAATTATTTTTGTGGTGAAATGTTGTGCAATAAGTGGTTTGACTGCACCGTTTCCCTTAAATGTCCGTCTAGTTTGAATTTGCCGCTTGCTCGCACCTGCTGTCTTCACGGAAGCAGTGTGTTCAAATATTTCAACTCAAATCAATATTTCGCGTCTAATTATTTACTTATGTGGCAAGTAGCCGTGTAATCTGCGGGATAATGTACATCCAGCCAGTTGTTATCTCAGAATAAACCCCTTCAGGCTGACACAAGACCCCTCCACTTCGCATCGGGGTCCTGATCACCCTGTTGGGGTTTATTCTGAGATAACAACCGGCTGGATGTACCTTATCCCTTACATAATAAATAGACACAGCACACATATATTATGTAAACAAAAACTTTTATTATGGATGCAATTAATCACGATTAATCGTTTGACAGCACTAATAATAATAAATAATAATAAACATTAAAAAATCATATGAAATGTATTAATTAAAAAAAATAATTAATAATATATATATATTTTTTTTTTTTTAAATATGGAGAAAAACAAAGAACTTGAATAGACAAAGGGTGTTGGATAAATACCATGACACAAGGCTTTGCTTTTAACCAGGTAGCAGGACATGAAAACAGTGCTGCTAACACATATCTGGTTAAATACATCACACAGTGATTAATTACGTTTTTTTTTTTTTTTTACTCAGATGAATCTAAAATGCTTACTGAAACAACAGCATCACATCAGTAGTGAGTTCTCTTCTTGTCTTATGTGTAATGACACCTCACAAAGCTCTGCAGTATTTAATTCTTGTGCTGCTGGTGTCACAACCTGGCAAACAGCTTCCTGAAACAGACTGTAATGAGTGCAGTGTGGCAGTACAAACCCCCTGTTGATTGTGCTCAGTTGAGTTTGAAATAATTTAGCCTCTGCTGCTTCTGTTGGCAGTCGCATTAGAATGCTGCTAATGGCTTTGAAGAGCTTAAAATGAACCCGCATTTGGGTTAATGTACCATTTTAGATTTGTTCATTTAAATGTTGCAAGCACACAACTTCAAGTGATGCCTTCCAAACTGCTTGATGCAGTATGGTCAAAACAGTGTTTCCATCAAAAGTCATGTGAGCTATATCAGCACTGAGCACTGCAAAGTACAATGTCATTATAAAAACCCTTGAATCTTTATTCTGCAGCGCTAATGTGCTAACCTACGCTACTGGTGTCTCTCTTCACACTACATGTACTGTTCGTACTGTTGTTTTATTCCAGTAATTCAGTGAGTAGATGGAGTTGACAAGCAGATGTCAATGATCAGGACTGCAGCACATTATTTGGACTGAACATGGTCTGTGTGCTTTGTGTGCTCATGACCTGAGATCAGTTGTAAACACCCATCTAGTCATCTCCTTAAATGTGGAAGTGACACAAGGGATACACCCACTGGAGCAGCAGCACTTTTATTAAGTGTTTTATCACCAGCTTTAGTTTTATTCAAGCATTACTGTGACACCTGCAGTGTTACACAGTGCTTTGCAAAGTATTAACCATTTCCCTTGTTTTCAGAATGACAAATCTCTGATTTATTGTACAGTATTACTATTTTTTTACATAATGAAAATGTTTTATTGTCATTAGTTTTATAGTTATAAAACATTTAAAACATCTGTAATCATAAAAGCTTAAATTATAAAATATTAAACATTAAAATAAATTTTACATATACAACATTCCAAACAAAATACTGATTTTTTTTTGTAAAGGTGTAAGTTGTAACATTTTACAAAAAGGATAATTTTGCTAACAGTAGTATCATTAACAATGAACCATTGTAAAGCATTTATTATTCTAAGCTAAATGTTAATGTGAATAATCAAGAATACATTTATAAACTCACACTAATAAGTTCATTGTTGTATTGTTCATTGGTAGTTAACAATAACATAATAACCAATGAATCAACTAATGTTAGCAAATTGAACTTAAGCAATGACTTCATAATATCTGGTTTGGTGTTTGCGGTTACTGCCATGTTGAAATACTTCAAGCTGAAGTTTATTAGTGGACTGAGAGGTTCTACTGCAGCATTCCCCGTATTAATAAAATGGCTAGTGCCCAAAGCATGAAACTACCATCATCATAATTCACTGTAGATATAGTGTTTTGTGGCCAGTATTAGATATTAGACTTAAAGTAAATCACATTGAATTTCAGTTAAAAAGCTATATCTTGGTTTCGTTTGACCACAAAATATCTTTCCCACATCACAAATGGGAGAATATTATAGTTTTTGGCAAAACCCTTATGCGTTTTCACATCGTTTTTCTTGACTAATGGCTTCTTTTGGCCACCCATTGATTCGTTCCTTATGAAACATTTCATACTTTACTCTTCACATGAATGCTCTTTAACCTATTTTCACAGCAGTTCTTCAGATTAACAATCTAATAATGATCCTTTAACTGTGGGGTTATTATCCACATAGGGTATTGGCTACTTTAATGATCATTTAATGTTATTTTAATGCACATGTAGAGGACAATTTACAGCAAATATGTCTCCATTAGAGTAACTGTCATTTGTGCTTCTGTAAAATGAAAATGTTTGCTTACTCTCATTGACAATGCACTCACCACACATAAACAACTACGAATCACTCATCTCATCTCTATGATGACTAATAATTATCTTCTCCTTACATAAACACTAGTCTGGGTTTGTGTGTATGTATAACACATGGATTTGATTATGCCTCATGTCTTACAGGGAAAGGTTAATAAGAAGATTTTCAAACTCCGAAAGATGTATTTCAGACATGCATTTAAATATAAATCTGCCAATCCCTAAGAAAGCATACAGAAAAATTGTATTAGACAATGTCAACTGTCAATCCATTCACAATGCCCATGAATTAGATGAGAAATCCCTGCACCACATTAGAATCTGCACCATTACTCTATGGCAAACTGAGATTTGATGTATGGCTCTGGTCCAGACTCTAGTAAAATGTCTACAGTCTACATAACCAGCTACCTACTAAGGCAGCATCCTAACAGAAAAGACACCTTGAAAGTGACTGAAATAATCTAAATATGCATCAACACTTAAAGGACAACTCTGTCGATTTTCAACAAGCTTTGTTTTGTTACAATATCAGTATTATATGTAATAGATCAATCTGTACAATGTTACCTACACCCAGATATCTCAGTTTGTTTTTAGCACTTCTGCCAACAAATAAATTAAGAAAATTCAGAAAGAGTAGACAGTGTTGAAAATCAAGTTTGAAGCATCATATGTTGCTAAGCTAACAACATGATACTAGCACAAACAAACTAAACTATATAAAATGCATTTCTAATTAGGGATATTCATTTCGGTTATTTTTCCTAACCGACAACCGACGCTCGTTAACTGATTTTTTACCGTTAACCGACAAGATTATTTTAAATTAGAATTGAATTAAAAAGAAAGGATAAGTGTCTGTGACCTGTTAAAAAATACTAAAAAAATTTCCCGGGGATTAATTTTACATGCACAAAAAGCAGCAAACAACAGAACATGAGGATTCACATGGTCATCATATCACATCACGCACCTGCAGCTCTTCTGCGAGAGGAGAGAAACATAAAGCTATATATATATATATATATATATATATATCTTAGGGCTGTCAGTTTAACGCATTAACTTAATTAGTTATGAAAAAATAACAAGATTAAAATATGTTAAGGCAGTCTACGCACT